TAACAAGCTGAATACACAAGTTAGTGAGGGGAAAACAGTATAAATGTAACGAGTTTTACTGCCAAGTATATTCGTTTGTAATTAAACACAAAACTAAAAAAAAAGGGGGCTATCTGTGCTCTGCCCATCACGGGTATTGAAACCCGGTTTCTAGCGTTGTATGTCCGCAGACATGCCGCTGTGCCACTGGGGGTAGGGGGCTCGTTTCTAATCCCTAATTCTAGTACGACGGTAAAATGTATCGTGATTGGTAATAAAATTTTACGTATTTAATCCAATTGACGTTGTAGGATCTGAATAAGCACTCATTGGTCTTGCTTGATTCGCTGTTACTTTGAAGAGTACAGAAATGAATATTTTTCTATCTTTATATTAAAATATATTGACGGTTTTGTCATTTCATTACTGGCTTTAAATCTCCGAGTGTGCACAGGCCAGCAGATGAATTGATATTCCCCTTATTATCGAGGCTCTTTTGTGAATACAGGTGAATCAAGCATATATATTTTATAACACGCACGTGAACGTGGCGTACATATATAATATACGGTATCTGACTATAACAGTCTATCAGAGCAGAGGACGGAGGAAGTAAATAATGAACAAATTTAATCTGTACATAAATCAGCTATATACGAACGGCACATAAACACACACACACAGCTAAATTGAGCAGCTGAGAGATAGATTTATGTATAGACGTGACATAATACTTACACTGAACTAAGCCTAAATGAATAATCACTGCCGTGTCTTGTGTATATAGGCTGTTTATATGCCACACTTTACGACGGCTTTTACATTTGCTGTGGAAAGCTACAATAGACGCTATTTTCCTTTCTACGTGATGACAAAGATCCCTTAACAAACAGTTTTGATTGGACTACCACATAAACCGAAACGTAAAGGCCATGAAACTGATGTCCTATAAATACGTATATGTACGTACGAATATATATATATATATATAGTCTTTTTTTTTTTGCTAAAATTATAATAAATAATTAACTAAAAACAACGTTTTATATTTACACAATAAAAACTTTATTGAAACCGTACGGCTTCCACTTTAAAATCTCTACAGGTACATGTTTCGACGTGATCTACGTCATGATATATAGTCTGTTTGGAAGGTTTGTGTTGTTTTAGTTTTATATATATGTATATATATTATATTACCGTCATTACACACGGTTCAACCTGTCAGGTTTGTTCATTTATTGATCCAGTCAACCTACACCCCCCCCCTCCCCCACAGAATATGACTCCCGGCCTTATAGTTCATCCAGAAGAGTCATTTTAAATTTTGATAAGAATACAAAATGCGCATCAAAGCTGAACTCGAAATGTTCCAGCTAATACACAAGATTCAAAACAGAGCACGTAAACATGAAACAAAAAAAACAAAAAAGGAGTAAAACAAAGAAAATGAAAAAAAAAAAGGTGGCGCTTGTATACGCAATTTGTTTCCAGAAATATACGGATTGATTGTGAACTGAAAGATGAAGGAAGATGAAGAAGAAAACGAAACTACAGATATTCAAATAATTATGTTATTTTACAAAATAAAAGATATAACAGTGACACGCATACACGTGTTTAAGGAGTTAAAACAAAACAGCATTTAGTTAAAGAGTTGTTCATGTGTTAAAAATAAACCAAAATCACGAATAACGTGCATTTAAAAATTACCAGCTATAAGTAATTAAAATGGAAAAGTATTAACTTCCTGTGGCTAAAATAGAAAAAGTATTAACTTCCTGTGGCTAAAATGTAAAAGTATTAACTTCCTGTGGCTAAAATGTAAAAGTATTAACTTCCTGTGGCTAAAAAGGAAAAAGTTGTTTGTTTGTAATTAAGCACAAAGCTACACAATGGGTTATCTGTGCTCTGCCCACCACGGGTATCGAAACCCAGATTCTAGCGTTGTAAGTCCGCAGACATACCGCTGTGCCACTGGGGGGCAAAATGGAAGAGTATTAACTTCATGTGGTTAAAATGTAAAAACCACCAATTTCCTGTGGTTGAAACGGAAAAATGCTTATTAATCATTTGGATATAAAATT